ATAATTCGAAACCCTAAGAAGTCTTATCCATATAATCCAAAAGCTCCTTTTTACAATCTTTACCGTGAGAAAGCAATCGAGGTGAGATTTTATAATCTGTGCTTTCAATTTAATTATAAATGACAGATGTCAAAACAATATATTCTTTTTAGTTTTATTATATACTTTTTTTAAATTATAAAAAAAAATTTACATTTTTCAATTGTTGTAATTAATAAAAAAAATTGATCAAGTGCGAGTTACACTCGCTTACCTAGGGTTCCGTTCACAATTTTAAATGTTTATAAATATTTTAAAAATGAAGCTGAAGCTGGCACCTTGTTATTAGCACCCATTTAATTTTTGAAATTTTCAAGTTGGTATTGAAACAAAAGAATACCATTTGTCAAAAATCTCAAACATTAAAAGAAAAGTATATATATAATTCAAAGGTTATTCATTAGAAAACAAATGAATACGACCAAAAAATATCAAAAATAAATTTAAATATTTTTTAAAATAAATAATGAAAATAATAACGACAACATTAAAATTTACAATTACAAATGATTCTATTATTATTTATTAATGAATGCATTTAAAAAGGGGGAGAATATATTATTTTTGACTTGGACTTGGATTCCAAACGAAATTACAAAGATTTTTCTTTAATAATTCGGAAAAAAAATTCCAATTTCTTCCTTTAATAAAAATTTAACGATTTCCAATATTTTTTTAGTCTATTGGGGACCAAAGGAAGCTAAAAAAAAATTGCGACCGCGGGACTCGAACTCTGGACGAAATTACAGAGATTTTTCTTCCATAATTCGGAAAAAAAAATTCCAATTTCTCCCTTGAATAAAATTTAACACTTGCAATAATTCTTTTCAGTCTTTTTGAGACCCAAAGAAATTGAAAAAAATATTGCAAGTGTTAAATTTTATTTAAGGGAGAAATTGGAATTTTTTTTCCGAATCTTCAACGAAAAATATTTGTAATTAATAATTTTTCGTAGAATTTGAATGGAAAATCTTTTTAAAATTAAATTAATTTTCTTTAACTTCTATTTGCTTCAAAAAAAATAATAATATTCTCCCACTTTTTAAATGCATTCATTAATAAATAATAATAGAATCATTTGTAATTGTAAATTTTAATGTTGTTGTTATTATTTTCATTAATTATTTTAAAAAATATTTAAATTTATTTTTGATATTTTTTCGTCGTATTCATTTGTTTTCTAATGAATAACCATTGAATTATATACTTTTCTTTTGATGTTTGAGATTTTTGGTATTCTTTTGTTTTAATACCAACTTGAAAATTTCAGTAATTAAATGGATGCTAATAACTAGGTGCCAGTTTCAGCTTCTTATTTAAAAAAAATAATTTCCCTATAATTTTCTTTCAATTTGCTTGTAAATATTTATATATATATGTACAAAGTTTGAAATGGTTGGCTAAAAAATTGTTAAAGTTAAGATAAAAAGGAATTTTGATGAGCCAAAAATTTTGAACGTTCAAATGAACGAAATATTTTTTTCAATCTATAAATTATTAAAAATTATGATGGCCATGTAAAATAAAACAATAAATTAAACATATATTAAATAAATAACTCCGTTTTACATATTTAAAACAATATTTTATAATAAAATTCGTAGTTAAAGAAGTTGTAAAAAAAATTTCGTTCATTTGAACGTTCAAAACTTTTGGCTCATGAATTTTGAGCTTATTCAGGATTTTTGAGTTTTTCTTGCGAAGCAATATTTAAGTTTTATTAATTAATAATACATATACATATAAGTTTCAGCTTCTTAACTCCAAAACTGTAAAAGTTAAGACGGGGGGAACACGCTTTTTTTCAGAAATTTCGACTTTTTAGAATATAACTATACTCAATTCAATTCCAATCGGGTTCGCTATAATTTTCCTTTAATCTACTCGCAAAAATACGTATGTATACCAAATTTGAGCATCGTAGCTCCAAAACTGTAAAAGTTAAGGGGGGACACACTTTTTTCCAAAATTTCGAGTTTTTGGAATATAACTATATTCAATTCAATTCCAATCGGATTCGTTATAATTTTCGTTTAATCTACTCACGAAAATACGTATGTGTACTAATTTTGAGCCCAATTGGTTAAAATGGCTAGATTTGGGGGGGGGGTAGGATTTTGTGGGTGGACATAAGGCTTCCGTTTCGGTTCAATGCGTGAACGGAACCCAAAAAATTGTAGAAAATTGGAAATTATTTTTTAAAAGTATAAAAAATCTTCACCTAAATCAGCGATATGTTTCTCTAAAACAGCGAAAGTTTTCGCTGTTCCAAAGAAACTTATCGCTTTTCCAGGTGAAGATTTTTTTACGTGTGAATAAAAAATTTTTCATTCATTATATTAATGAAAATTAAGAAGAATTAATTAATTATTATAAGATCAACGCTTATAATAAACATGAAGACTAATTAATGCATCAGTAGACTATCTTGAAAATTTAATTTAGGTTATTATCAGGATAATGTTCTACGATAAAAAAAATAGTTACGATAAACTCATTAAGCCAGACCTCGTAAAACTAAATATCCCATTTGAAATTATGCGAAACGCGTGTCTCTTCATGCATGTTGGTCCATTATATATACTTTAAAGACTTTTACTTCTCTATCTCCAAAAGATATGCATCGAAATATATAATTTCCTTGTGATACGCAACGAAATTCTTTATATAATATTATTTTACAAACCGAATTTCGTTAAGTGTTATGTTGAAAGATTTATAACTATCGAATGTCTCAATAAATTCTTTTAATTTCGCTATTTCGACTTTTATCTTTATTCAAAATTTATGCATTTAAGTTAAAGAAAAAAAAAACACGAATAATAATAAATTTACACTAAGTTTCATATTTAAATGCCCGAGTCTTTAAAAAAATGTTAAATTTTCTAATTAATTAATAATTAATTATTCTCATTAAAGTTAAATAATTTAATTTTTTCTTGTTCAAAATTCAGAAACGTCTTTAAATAAATTGAAAGAAAAAAAAAATTATTCACTTTAATAATAATTTGTCTAATTTGTGAAGCCGGTATCCATTGAAGAATTGAGATGATGAAAAAAAAAAACTTTTCTCTTATATATACATTAACGGATTGAAATATAATACATAAGTGCAAAACGTTAGAGATCTATTATTTCAGTGTAAGTGTGTGACATGATAAGAGAATGCGAACACAACTCCCAAGAAGAAAGAGAGAGAAATCAACCTTCTTGGATGTCATTATTGTGAATGGATCAAATATGATTCTTGATACGGCGACAGCCAACTTAAATATATGGAGCATAATTACAAACACTCAGCTACATTGTTATAATTCCTCGACAGGACATTGTACCAAATAGTTTAATGTACTCTTGAGAAAAAAGTTCTCTCGTCAAAAAGATAAAATAAAAGGAGAAGGGTCATTCCATTATATTTCACCTAAAGTCGTTGCGGCCTAATTTTTAAAAAACTTGGTACTTTCAGAAATGATTCTTTATAATATTTAGGAAACGAAATAAAAAGAATTAAGTTTAAATTTTTATTATTTATCTCAAAATATGTATTTAAAGTGGACAAGGTGCGGAAAAATGTCACCTTTTTAGCATTTAGAAACTTTTTTTAAAAACATAGAAAAATTGTTAAAAGTGTAAAAAAAATTATTTTTTCTTGTTTAGAATCGATTAATTATCTATTTTTTAATGATTAAAGTAGTAAATAAATTAAAATAATATATAAAATAAGTTTTTAAAGTTGGTCTGTCAAATAACCTAATTTTGGGATTTTTATTAATTAATTACTAAAAAGTGGAGTTATTAAATAAAATAAAAACTTACCGAATGTAAAGTATTTGTGGTGAACTTTCAAATTTTCTTAGCACTTTGTACTTTTTAAATTTATAAATGTAAAAAATCTTGAGTCGAAAATTTGCACTTTGTTGACTTTTCCGATTTTTAATCGCTTGTAACTCTTTTGGTGCAAAATAAAAACTTTTGAAACCTGGCGGAATATTTAAGTTATATCTAAATAAAAACTCACTGTAATTTTCGTGATGGATTTTGATCGAGATAAGGAGAAAATTTAATTCCAAAATTGTACGTATATTTCCAGGTTAATGTATGTAATTTTTCGTCTTTGAAGTAGTGGCCCAACTTCAAGTTTAAAAAAATTACATACATTAACCTGGAAATATACGTACAATTTTGGAATTAAATTTTCTCCTTATCTCGATCAAAATCCATCACAAAAATTTAAGTGAGTTTTTATTTAGATTTAACTTAAATATTCCACAAGGTTTCAAAAGTTTTTATTTTGCACCAAAAGAGTTACAAGCGATTAAAAATCGGAAAAGTCAACAAAGTGCAAATTTTCGACTCAAGATTTTTTACATTTATAAATTTAAAAAGTACAAAGTGCTAAGAAAATTTGAAAGTTCACCACAAATACTTTACATTCGGTAAGTTTTTATTTTATTTAATAACTCCACTTTTTAGTAATTAATTAATAAAAATCCCAAAATTAGGTTATTTGACAGACCAACTTTAAAAACTTATTTTATATATTATTTTAATTTATTTACTACTTTAATCATTAAAAAATAGATAATTAATCGATTCTAAACAAGAAAAAATAATTTTTTTTACACTTTTAACAATTTTTCTATGTTTTTAAAAAAAGTTTCTAAATGCTAAAAAGGTGACATTTTTCCGCACCTTGTCCACTTTAAATACATATTTTGAGGTAAATAATAAAAATTTTAACTTAATTCTTTTTATTTCGTTTCCTAAATATCATTAAAAATCATTTCTGAAAGTATCAACTTCTTTAAAAATTAGGCCGCAACGACTTTAGGTGAAATATAATGGAATGACCCAGAATAAAAAAAATAATCTTTCGAAAATATAATATATCAAATTTTTTAGAATTTAGAAAACTTTCAATTATAAATATATAACCTAAAATTGTAAAATTTAAATCTTACCTTGACAAAAGAGTGGAATTTGACTTTACTAGGCGAAACTGGCGGGCTATTTGGCGGCAATGATTTGTGACCATTTTGTATTAGATTCTGGACCTCGAGAAGATAACCCTTCCTCGTGAATCTACTCCTTGGACTTGTCGTAATTTCCATTTCCATTTTTGCTTTTCTAAATTTGAGATTCTCCTTAACATCCTGCCTGAGTATTATGTGTGTCAGTCTTCTGATATTTGCCTTTGAATCATTTGCACAAATTCTTTGCCATGCTTTTGAAACCATACTAACAGAACACAAGTCTTGTGGACTCAATAATGCTAAAATATTGGAAACAACACGCCAATGATTACTTTTTTCGCCCAATAAAACAAGCATATCAACATTTGGTATACCAGTTTGATCTCTCGTCGCTCGACTTCTTCTAAAGGATGCTGAGAGACCTCTTTGACTGAAATCAAGTCTCTTTGGCTTGATTTCCGGTACCGTTGCCAAATCATTAATTACTAATCTACTGAGTCTTCGTCTATCAACGGAAGTTAATACCGGGCTGCTTCTTCTTATCGATCGATAAGATGATTTCATCGTTGAAATATGAGGTGTACTCTGATGCATTATTGCCTTAATTTCGACAAATTCATTAGGTTCTGAAGCTTGAAACGATGAACTTGGAATTGCCGGCGATGGTGGTGATGCTAAAAGTTTCAAATCATCAGCTGGATTTACCGGTACAGTCGCCCTCCAAGCTCGAAGATTTCGATTTCGAAGTTCCATTCCAAATTCCTGATACTCGGGCAATACGCCGTGACCACTTGCATTCTCGCTGCATGACAATTGATGTTGAAATTTATTTGGAAGTGAACTACGACTACTTGACTTATTTCCCTCACAGCACGAATTATCCAAGAGAGTTGAAAATTTTGAACGAAGTCTTGTAATTCTTTCCGATTGTAATGGATCATTTCGAAAGCGGCTCCGTTTTATTGACGTATTCGAAATTCGAACACGACTTCCCGTACTTGGCGAATGACATCCAGGTTGTGGGGTTAATGTTAAATATCCACTATCATAACTTCCAAATGAACTACGAGAACTCCGATTACTAACATTCACCTTTCCCACCGGGCTGTCAATAACTTCCAAACATTTATCCATTTTGCATTAAAAACACAAATTCTCATTCAAAAGAAAAACAATTGTAGAAATTGGACAAAAATTTTAACACATTCTTGAATAAGAAATACAAAGTCGTTGAAACAACAACATTTTAAAGAACTTCTCCTTCCATTTGTTTACCTTTCACGCACGAACACGCTTCGTTGACTGACGTATTGTATAAGATTGTTAATTGAAAATAATCACACACAATCCCGCAAATGATTCAATGCATTTGATCATTGTCAAAATGGAATATGGAGTAACAGATGTCAGCGTCCGTGGCACAGTCTTTGTTTGCAGAAATAAGGTTAGAAAGCAACCCTCTTTTTGGAAGAGTCCAATAAAAAAAGATTATAATTTTTGTAAACACACAAAATGCACGACATAAATAAACACATTTGGCGACAAATTAAAAATTCACAAGTATTTATATATATAAATAACACTTTTAACTTAAGAAAAACGTCACTTTAAACACTAAACTGACACTCTATTAAAACGCAAATGTCACTTTCTCGAAGGGTGCAAAACGCGCCACAGCACGCAGCACGCGGGTCCTTCTTCTTCTTCTCTCTTCTCTCTATATGTCCCCCAGTGGTGGGAACATACAAAACTTTCAAAACTTTATTCACAGCCCCACCGCCAAATAAATTCCAACCAATGGCATTCTGGCTAAATCCCGCCTGTTATGATTGAATAAAACGATTGGACTGAAAAGCGCTGTTCCACACTCTGGCGAGCATTTTGGTAATTAAAAATAAAGCGTCTGTTGCTGGGGAAACCTTGTAGTTCATCGTAGTTGCGCCGTAGTTTGTAGTTTTTTAAGTTCTGCGCATAAAATTCCTTTGTTTTTCAAGGTCGTCCTACATAAAGATTACTTCTCCCTATATTTTCAATATATGTTACAGATTCTGAAAATAATTTTTGAGATTTAATAAAATTAAAAAAATAAAATATACATTTGAAAATACAAAATATTGGATTTTATTTAAAAAAATTTTAATAAAATAATTTTTTTTAGTAATAAAAATTGTATTTTCCTATTAAAATATTAGTTTTATATATAATTTAAACTTTATTTAACTAATTATTATGTAATTGTATTATGAAAATATGCAGCGCCTTTGATAGGCAACCATACTTGTCGGGGTGTATAAAGATTTTTTTTTTTTTAATAAAATTGATAAATTTGACAATATTTTCTGCAAAAATTAATAGATAATTAATTGAAAAAAGAATTTTTAACTTAATAAACATAAAACTTCATTCATTAGTAAAAATTAAAAATGATTTTTAGAGATAATTAATTTTTGTATTTTAAATAAAGGCGGGAAATTGTTGAGAAAATTTCTAACAAATCAGATCAAAGCAGCATGGAAATTGTTTTGTATTGTCAAAGTATATACACAGCTCTTTAAAACGTGACTAAAAAATAATTATTTCAAGTTAATAACATTAAAAATGGAAGCTTCAACAAGTAAATCGGAATCTACTCCAAAACAAACGATGGTTTACGTTTGTGGCGGTAAGTTTTTTATCATACTTTTCACTACATTTTGAAAAAACAATTTTTCTAACCTCACTTTTTGCTAAACGTTTATAAATGTTTATTTTACAGTATTGTATTATAAATAATCAAGTATTAGACATTGTAATAAATATTTTTTTGTATTTATATTTATTTATTTGAAAAATATAATTACAGAATGTCATCGTGACAATGAAATTAGGCCTCGAGATGCTATTCGTTGCAGAGAATGCGGCTACCGTATAATGTACAAAAAACGTTCAAAACGATGTATCCTTTTTTATCTAAAATAACCATTTTTCCTTTTATGATATAATTTTCAAAAGAAAATTTTGGAAAATCATTTTAAAAAGTAAAATTTTTCTTAACTATTTATCTAGTTGTTGTATTTGATGCTCGCTGACAATGTACCATAAGATATCTACGGTAAGGACTCAACTATAACTAGGAATACTATAAATATATGTAAATCTTCTCACCAATATATAAATATTTTCAAATATATTATTGATTATTTTAACTAAATTTGCATTTAAATTAAATAATCTCCAGTAAAAAAAAACTCAAATTTTTAAATATAATTTTGATTTTTTTTTCTTATTTTTCACATCTGGACTGCTTTTTATTTATCAAAATAATAAATTAAGTCAAAAAAAATTATAATTTACTTCAGGATAAGAAATGATAAATTAGTTCAAGTAAAAAAATAGAAATGAGAATATTTATTATAAATAAAAACGAAATGTAAATTCAAGACTGTGAACTAAACAAAAAGATTACAATAAGTATAGGCAATGTTTTTTTTTTATTTACAATAAATAAATTACATTTTCATCAATAGATTAACAGAGTTGTGAAAATCGGGGAAGAAATGTTGACATCAGCATTGGCAAAATGTTGGCGATCGATAACTTATTAATTGCTACTACAACTTTGAAATATCTAATATGATAATAAAATCTTTTCTCCGGTCCCATTATTTGATATTCGTTGGCAAAAAAAAAAAAATTTGCCATTTTGGTTCCACTGAAAATGTTTCTGTGATACAATTCTCTCCAACATTCCTAAGGCAATTGAATGTACATTACACATTTTCACATAAAAGCCTTAGCTTCTCGTGTATATGCTTATAAAATCCTAAACACCCTTAGTTTTATACATTACATATGCATACATAATATATAATATATATATATTTTTTTATATATTTATAAAACATCAGAAACGACGCCAACAATTTGTTAAGCTATGTTATCGACACACAAACGGAAATCGACCTTATAAAATATAGCATAATGGCTTTAGCGATATTTTCATTCATGTCTTTATCAAAGACAAAAATTCAATCATGAATATTAGAAAACGATATTATTCGAACAAAAGCAATCGGGTTATTACACACTTTTTAATACTGCGATTGGAAGCAGCCAAGCCAACAAATTGAAATTTAACATTATTCCCTCTTAAAAAGAATTTCACATTTCTAGAAAAATAGATTTTTTTCTAATTTTGAGCATTCAACATTTTTATATATAAATTAATTTTTAAAATGCTTTTTTTTATTATAATTTTCTAATCAAAATTTATTTCTTGTTTTTTAATCGACTATATATAGTTGACAAATTGTGTCAAAATAAATTCAATATTATTGATATGTCATTTTCTTTTTAATATAATTTTAATATGTAAACATTATTACGAGTTTCTGTAAAAAATACAAAAAAAAATATATTTCTACATATTTATAAATATATAGAAATAAAATTCCTTTCCTCAGTTTCCGTTACGATAAAATCTTCAGAATTGCCTTAAAAAATAAATGTTTATTTAAAAATTGAGAAGAATAGTTGGCTTGGCATATTTATATATTATATATTACATATATATTGAGAATACATCTCTTAAAAAGCTCGTACTTCAACTGACAAAGAAATCTTAAAAAAAAAATTTACAAGAAATAATTACATCGACTGCTTAATTTCAAAAATCTACATTGATATTTGTTTTGGATGACAATGTTTTTTTTTCTTAACTGAACTTTCATTGCACATATTTATTTGTATTTGAATAATTCATGATTCTTATCTCAAGCACACAAAGACTCATTTTTTGTTTAAAAAATTGTTAAGATACATGATTATGCAGAAGACAATATTGTACACTTGAGCGAAAATGTTATTTAAATCAATCAAAATCATTTATCAATCAAATCATCTTAAAAAAATTTGACAAACAAAAAGAAACTAAATATTAAAATTCTTATTGAAAACTCTAAAAAACAGATTTTCTTCTATCAGTCGTGAAAAAGTTTTTACAGAACAAAAATCTGTTATTTAAAAAATAATAATATGAGATCACAGTATTAAAAAAAAGACTTGTAAATGAAATCACAAGAAATTTAATTAAAATACTAAATACAAATTTCTCAAAATGATTTGATTGTTGTAATTTGGATTTTTAATTTAATTTTTTTTTATCAAAAAAACAATAGGGGGAAGATTGTCAAAAGTTTCTCTAAAGACTGTTGATCAAAGATAAAATATTTCATCTATATGTATATATATATATAATATAATATATATAAAAAAAATTCATTTTGTTTCCTAAAATTGATTGAAACACTAATACTAAACGTTTTGGCGCGATTTGGAAGTCACTATACAAGAAATATATATATTTACAAAAAACACAATTTCTCCGAAATAACAATATCTTTTTTTTTTGCAATGTTATCTTAACATTGCAGGTATATTATACAAATTTATGTATAGATATTGTAGATATAAATAAATATATATTTATATCTATACATATATGAGATTAATTTTACGAATAAAATCAATATTAATTCGTAATATTAGAATACTCTTTTTAACGTTTTGTTTGTTTGCACGCAACATTTGCACTTTAAATACAGAATCACATGCCATATGCCATTACATAGCACCCTAAATACTATCTAAAAACTACAATGGGCACATAAATATAATTCGTCGTGAGATAATAACACTGAAATCTCGATTTGCTATAACAGAGAGCAATTTCGAATTTTTCCACACGAAATGAATTTTTCTTTTTATAAATGCTTGACAATTTTAATTTTATAAATCAATGAATCACAATTCTCAATTGCTCTCCATGAAAGACGCTTTAATTGGAAGATTCAATTTTTTTGAACTTTGGGACTCTTTTTCTTTCTGTAAAAAAAATTAAACGAGAGATGTTTTTTTTTTCCTTCTTTTCAATACAGTTAAAAGAAAAAATTCAATATTCTCTCGTAAATTGAAATATTTTGGCACTATATATCTTCTAGTTTTTTTGCACCGTCATTTTGTCGAATTGGTATTTCATCGACAAATCTCGTTGTCGTTATCCCGTCCTTTTCTCTTGTATCGGTTTCAATATTGTGCTCGACAAAGCAATGAACCTGCAATTCATTTAATGTTTGCATTGATACAGAACAAATTTGACACTTGAACGTCAGGGATTTTGATTCCTCGTGAATTGGCACATGATATGTTCGAGATGCTTCGGCATCGGAGACAATTTGAGACGTTGAATAAGAGTGAATTGAATGTGATGATAGTTCTTCACTCTCGTCACATGAATTTTCACCTTTATTACTTCCTTGATTGTTAGCCGATTCCGGATCCCACTGACCCATTTTACTTGGATCTTTCTCATACAGCTTCTGGGCCAACAACTGAAAAAAAAGTCAACGAAAAATTTTAAATTATTTTCTTAATTAACGTTTGTTAATTGATAATAATTTATTCTTTTGACTTACGATATTTAAATTCAATTTTTAAACAGCAGACATTATTTTTTAAATAAAGAATAAATAAATAAAAAATTGTAAAACAAATGTGTTTAATGAAAATTCGAGAAAATTTAAGTACATTAAAAAATAGCAATATTTTTAAAAATTACCTGAAGACTGACAAGACTATTATCACAGTCTGTGGTATCAATATCGTTGAGATTGATACCAGAACGTTCCATTTCGGCATAGGTTCCAAAAGGTAATTTACCTAGGCACTCAAGTTTCATAATATGCATTTTGCTACGTAAATGTTTAGCAAGATGTCCATGTATTCTAAACGCACTTTTGCAGTCATTACACTTGAATGGTCTTGGATTGCTACTGGTTGCTGCTCCAAAAGTAGAAGTCATGCTAACTTTATTACGATGAGAAATAGAACGCTGATGTTTAGTCAAGTGGCCTTTTGTTCTGAAAAATTGATAATTTTCATCAAATATTTTGTAAAGCTCTGCAAAAATAATGAGGAAAAACAAAAACAACAGAAAATTTTCATAAAACATTGCTTATTTAGAAATTTTCTTTTTAAGAAGGAAAATTTTTAATAAAGAAAATTAAAGAAATAATTTAAAAACATTTTTTCACATAAATATTTTTCTGTGAATTTTTTATTATTCTAGTAATTTAGTAACTTTTATATAATTATAATGATATAGATTAACAAAAAATTAAATTTTAGAAACAAGAAATTGTCACGAAAACATGAAAATTAATCGAAAATAATTTCAAAAAAAAAAAAAAACTTAAAAATATAGAAATTAAATTAAGAATTATAAATTTTGATAAATCATCAGATTCTCACCTGAAAGGAATAGCGCAACTTTCACACCTGAATGGCCTCTCGAAATAATGAATGTTGATGTGCAATCTTAAATGACTTTCCTTTGCGTCTTTGCTGAAGACTTTGTTGCACATTCCACAAACACTTCGGCCATCTTCCATCACACTGAAATAAAAACAAATTTCACTTTTAAATAACAATTCTATGAAAATTTTCAATTTTAAATAAAATTTTTTATTGAATTTACATTTTTTTTAAATAATTTACACAGCTCAATTTTAGCAATATTAAAAAGTAAAAAACATCAAGAATTACATTAATATTCATTAATTTAGATTTATTAAAAAATTTTTTTTTTTAATATTTATAGGTAAGCTCGAAATATATTTCTTAAATTGTGTTTTTATTTGGTTTTATAATTTTAATATAAATGCGACATCATAGATTGTCACCTACTCACCTTTTTATTATTTTATCACCTATTTCACTTGTTAGAATTGTTGTTAAAATTAGTCACTTTTTTCAAATTTATTTTATATTTTATTTAATTGAATTATAATTTCAATTAAAAATATATTAAATAAAAGTGATTAACTCTTTAATTTTTTTTATAAAAGTAAATTCAAATTTTTAATAAACAATATATATTACAAATTCTTACGTAAAAATACAAAAAATTGTTATCTATTTAAAATATTGAATATAATTTTTTTCCGTTTTTTTTCCCATTTAAACTGTATTGAACTTTTAGAAATATTTTGATTACCTAATTTTTATTTATTTGAAGTATAAGTTAATCTACCAATTTCTTACTATGATTAGTTGATTATATAATAATAATAATAATAATAATATCTATTTTTATTTTATTAGTTTTTATTCATTTACAATAATTAATAACTTTAGTTTATTTTATTAATATTGTTTTTATTGTAATTATTGTAAGGAGTTTAAGGAATGATGAACAAGAATTTTTTTAGATTTTAATCATTTTTTAATTTAAAAAAAAAATATAAATAAAATATATACCAAGAAGGTAACATTTTTCTATTAGTAATATCTTCATTGACTTACAGTAAAATTGAAAAATTCAATATTTCCTATTATTTTAAGAACATTTTTACTAACATATTTATTCATTTTTAAAAACTTATTGTCTTAACTAATTCTAAATTTTCTAATTTTAATTTATAATTTCTAGTATTAACTCTTTAATTATTATTATTATTATATTTACTAAATTTTTGGGAATGTTCTAGTACTTTTTGACTAATTTTCATTAATACTGAATATTTTGCCCTATACATTATTAATTTTTTTTTTTTTTTTAAATATAATATTCTGATAATTACTTAAAACAAATAGTAATTTGTTCTACATTGACATACATTTTTTATGGCACATATTTTACAAAAAATAATAAACAAAAAATCAAGGATAATTCATCACAAGTTTTAATTAAAATAAAAAAAATGTCAATCTTGAGAAATGAATGGTTCTTTAAAATTCAAGCTCCATGAAAAAAAAATGAAGATAAATTTACGTCATTTTCCTGGTTTTCAAGATTTTATAATATAAATATTATTCTATAATATCTCAATGAAAACGTGGACCTGCGGGAAATTGTCTCCAATTTCTCGCTGCTCCCATTTGACCCCAATAAAATAGGTTAGTTAGATAATGTAAATATGCCAACCTAACGTAATTTGGCGTTGGACCACTCGATGGCTGCAGAAATTCCGCTTGAGGCTTTGAATTGCCTCCCGTTGACGATGGAATCCTAAATGGTGGACCACCAACAACCATTTTTCGTTGCATCGAATGTTTGATACTCTCATTAATGCTCTGCTTGGTCAATTCAATTGAATCAAATCTCTCGGCAACACGAATATCCATTGCTCCTTGTGTTCTTGGAATCTCTTGATGTAAATTCGAAGGCTCGTGTTGTAAAACAGAATCCGATGGTGATCTATATTCGCCAATCATTCTTGTCTCTCTACTCGGTGGTCTAGAGACTTCAACATTTAATTGTTCCATTCCAATTGGTGGGGAAAATTCCTGTTTTGTACGAGGATGATCATGACAATGTGATAATGATGATGTTTTGTACTCTGGTCCCGTTCTGTAATCTTGATTCGTATTACGCATCTCTCGATTCGGTGATCTTAGATCAGAATTACGAAGTTCATTACTTGTGGGTCTCAAATCTGGAGTGTGAGATCTGTTTGTTGACAATCGAATATCCAAGTTTGATTGAGTTGTAAGATTTTCACCGCGAGGTCTCTCAACTTCCCTCATCATTTTCATTGCATTGAACATTGAATTTCGATCAACTTCATTCTTTGCATGTCGATTATTGACATCATGTTGAATAAATGAATTTTCAATTGGTAGATCGACAACAAAATTTGATCTTTCGGAAATGTTCATTAAATTATAATCAATTGTTCTTGCGATTGAATTCACGATACGCGGTTCAAAACACTCTCGCGCTAAACTTGAACGTGATGCGAGATCCTTATCTTTATTGTAAATCGAATCTATATCGAACGGACGCCTTTCAACATTAACACTATTTAGATAAATCTTCTCCCTGATCTCGTGTTTGATATCTTCTGAAGCCTGTTTCGACATGTTCTTGATTCTCGACTCAAGAACTGCAGGTTGTAATTTCGTTGGATCAGTATATGTTACCGTTGGCACACCATGAGATTCTACGCTGAGATTTGAATTATGTTGCTGTAAGTACAATTCCCGTTCTTTGATATGCTTGTTGTCTACTTTACAATTACCCACGCGATATTGCTCCTTCATTTTACTATCCATCACATGTCTTTCAGTAAGATAAGCCTGCAGCATATGGCCATCAGTCTCAGGTTTCCATTCTCTCCCATGATGATGATGATTATTATTATGATGATGAATCGGTAACCTCTCCATACTCTGGACAATTGTTTGCAAAAGAGCAGGTTCAGAAACTGGTGTTAAAATGTCCATTGGTTTTGCTCGTTGAATGGATGATTGTGAAATTTGTTTTATCGTAAGATCCATTGGTTGTGATGAGTGTCGTCCACCATTTATGGAATCAGTGACTGTTTCCATTTCCATGTCGGATTCATTTTTTATTGACGACTGAATGACACTTGATCGTGAGGATGATTCCTCGGAAGATGTGGAACGATTTGAGGGGAAATAATATCTATTCGAAAGTTCATTATGAATTACGGATGATGTTGTTGCTTGAGACATGATTGAATTGGAAATTGAACTGACAACAGTAGTTGAAATTACACTTGTCGTTACTGATGCAGTGGGAAGTGTTTGCAAATATGGATATGTCGTTGGTCTACCCGATGGCAAGAGACCTGGTAATCGACCAGAAGAACTACGTTGCGATAAACTTAATAGACTTTGTGCTGCTTCTTGTTCTTCACTTCCAGACTCTTCACTATCGTCGCCTTCCGTTTCTTCATCCTCGGACGATGATTCCTCAGCATTTCCGCCACCCGCTGTCAAACGAGCGATTGCCTCTTTATCAATGTTTTCATCACACACAACTGTTGGCACTGGCACAATTCCCAGCTCGACACACTTTTTGTAATGCGCTTTTGACTTCATGTGTTTCGTTAGGTTGCCTTTTGTTTTAAAGCTGTACACAGAAAATGTTGAAAGAAATTTTTTTTTTTTTAATATTCATTTTAAACAGTTATTAAAATAATAAAATAATAAATTTTTATTCAATTTTAGACAAATTTTAATTTTATCGAAATTTCCATTTAGTATTGTGTGACGGAAATTTTGTTTTCAGTGATTTTTTTATTCACGTTTAAATGAATTTTTATATATTTATTTTCATTACATTTTTGAAAGAAATTTTTTTTGTAAAAACCCCAAAAAAGGTTCAATTTAAAGTTTATATTTATAATTAAAAAATAATTTTGAATCATAATAATAAAGGAAATCTTACTAACCTGAAAGAACAGTGTTTACAAGTATACGGCCGGACATCGGTGTGTGTTCTGATATGTTTTTTCAGCATTGACGGTTTTTTGCAACGAATACCGCATTCTTCGCAAACGTAGCGACCGCGACCTGAAAATTAGAATACAAAATTAATCTAAAAATACAGAAATATTTCAATTTAAGAAAATTAACACTTGTGCTGCATTATGTCACTTGTAATATTATGTAGCAAAATATTTACTTTATAAAAATAAAAAAATAAAAAAAATAAAAATTTGTCCTACTTGATTTCAGATCAGAAATTTTTAGAGCATTTTTAGTAATGTTTAGCAGAATTTTCATTGTTTCGAATTCGTATTTTTTTTAATTAATCAGTTATAAAATTGTTTTCACAAATTTTTAGTCAAATTTTTCATTTTTTCAAGGAACCTTTTTTCTTCGAGATAGACCAAAAATTTAGGACAATTCATCACAAGTTTCAATTTAAAAGAAAATCAAAGTGTGAATTGTTAAAAAAATTTCAAGGTTGAATTAAAAATTCAAGGCATAAATAAATTTACGTCGTTTTCGCAGTTTTCAAGGTTCAGTGGCGACCCTTTATTACTAATAAATTAGTGATAATTAAAATTTTAGTTTAAAAATCGATTTTGCGGTTTATCATGGACCGTACAAATTTTATATGAGGTTTTACTTTCCGGCGACTCTATGCTATTTTAAATTTAAATAAAAATGTTAAAATTGTAAATTGAAATAATAATTTTTTAATTAAATAAATTTTTTAGTCTAATTAAAATGTGGAGAAATAAAAAATAAGGGAAAAATTGAATTACCTCGACCGCGAACATATGTGTAATCTTCATTGCTCTCGAATCCGCCATCGAATATTTTGACTCGTTTCGCTTTCTCCTGAGTATCATTTTCCAATCCACTGTCAGCACTGATTGGTGTCGTTGGTCGTCGCGACGAATGAGTCATAATATCCTCTTGTTTCGTCGAGGCAATACTGTAATTTAGAGGTCTGTGACGCGAATCATAATGGGCCATATCGACATCCGGTGGTGCATCTTTACAAATCTTCCAGTTAGAATACATCGACAAATTGTGTTGTTGCATAACGTACATTGGCTGTGGTCTATTCAATGTACAATAATATAATCGTGTCGAACACTTTAAACCAAGATACGTGTAAGCATGACCATTAAAGAAAACTTGACCATATGACTTCCTCTGTCTCGGTGTCTCGGGACTTATCAATGGTAATGTATTTGCCGTTGGTGTTATTCCATGATGTTTCTTCGGTGTAAATGTCCCCGGTTTTAATGGCAATGATGTTGGACGTAAAAATTTTGTATTACTTGCCTCTTCATTATCATCATTATAATTCCATGGCGATTTATTTCCATCAATTTTACCAATTAACTCAACGGGTGATTTGTTTCGTACTTCTGTTTTTGATGAATCTAAATTCACAAATATCGATGTCTCTGGCTTTACCTTGGCGCCGTTTAATTTCAAACGACCATTCTCATTAGGAAGACTACTGTCGAGCTTCAAGACGGGACTTTGTCTTAATGTTTTTGCTCTTTGTTCTGAGAATGGCAGAGAATTTATATCAAAGGAATTTCGATCTGAGACTCTTTCCTCCAGGTCTTCAACATTCCAGGTCGAGTGTCTTTTTCTATTTTCAATTAATTTCGGCGAGAATCTCATTTTACTGTAAGAATTTGGCGATTTGTCATCTTCAAATCTTGAAGAAGAATAATTGAATACTTTGTCGATCTTTGGATTTGATTCAAAAACGGCATCTCCGTCTTTTGTTTTATTGGTAATGGTGCTATTCTTCATGAGTCGATCGTCATCCTTGAGATCATTGACAGAAATTGATTTACCAGTTTTATATTTTTCTGTATCTGATTTAATGCTTGAAATTTTTGTTACGATATGACGATGGCCATGATCAGGTGTTTTGAAATTTGATGATGATGATGATGATTTATTCGCTGGACTCGCCAGATCCAATGGTTGATTGAGTGAGGAATCAAGAGATGATGGTGGTCCTGGAATTCCAGGTACATTTTGCGTTAGAATTTTCACGGGACTAGCGAGATTCAATGGTTGTTGAGGAATCATATGCAAGCCCGGCATGCCGGGTATCACTTTGTACGTTGCATCACCCGGAGGTATACTTGAAGGGGATATGTCTACAGAGGGTGAAGAATTGGTCAGTGTATGTGGACCGGGCATACCGGGAACGTATGGTATAACTTTGCCACCATGAAGAATACTGGCGATTCCGGCTTGCGGTAATGTTAGAGGATTATAGGCAGTGATGTTTGTTAATGGATTCAAATGTGGTTCCAGATAATTGTAGCACGTCATTGTGGGCGCTAAATTTGTTGTTGATATGTTTGGTACAATGGGTGCTAATAATTTGGAATTATCTGGCAAAGATATGGAAGAATTTGGTGTGCTATTGTCCGGTGTACTTCCACCGGGAGGTTTGTGTACCATTGTTCCACCCGAATGAAGACCAGATCTGAAAACAATTAAAATTAAATTGTCTTTGTATTTAATAAAAAAAAAAAAAAAGATATGTTTCTTTTTTTTGGCAAACTCACCTGACAACAATGGATGAGGTTTCAGAAGTGGCACACTTGTTGGTGACAATGTGCTCGCTTGTTGGCGAACTAGTTTTCCTTGGTTCGATCCTCATAGTCTTTGTCTCTCCTGTGTTGTCCAATATTCGTACCTCACCGCCAAACATTTGCAAAGAATTTGGCCTTGGAAATTTGGACAATTCCTCCAGTGACCTCAATGTGCCGGGCATTGGTTCGTTTCTTGATTTCTTTGCAGGTGGAGTGTAGGCATCAACAAGTCTCGTATTACCAAGGAGTGGTCCAGGTGATTGTAACGGTTGAAGATTATAATAATCAACCTTGGAATCGTACTCGGCTGTCGTATCCCTTTTATCTAAATCGAGTTGAAAGTCAGCTCGTCTTGGACTCATGACACCTTTACAATAGAATTTCTTGTGCGCTTCAAGATTATCGGCGCTTGTGTAGGAAATTTTGCAAAATTGACAGACAAAATTATTGTCAGCCTCGGTATTGTTCTCCTCATGATTCGATGATGAGCGTATCGCTGCTGTTTTTAACAAAAGATCCTTGATTATTGAACTATCTGCATTTGGTGATACATCTTTATTGCCTTCTTGAGCAAAACTGTCACTATAACATCGTTTTCGAATTGTTGATTCATCACCCGATGAAAGATTCAATGGCTGTTCAGTCTGTTTAATTTCAACTAGGCTCTGCTGTCGCTGCATTAGTTTGTGTAATCGTGGATCAACAGACTCGACAATTACTTGATTGTCGCTGATTATTTTATCTATGTGTTCCTGCAGCCGCTCCGCATTTGGTTTAACATTATTATTATTATTATTATTATTATGATTCGGTGTCATGTTAGTTGAGGAACAAGAGCTGCTGCTGGAGGAATTGGAAGACGTTTCAGTCTCATTGCTCGCATTGTGCAAAGCGGTATGGAACTTGGGCTTATATATCTTGCCAGTTTTAACAGTCTTTATACTCGAAGTGGAGCTTGATGATGCCGGCGGTGGTGGAGGTGTTCCCGTTCCATTGCTCGCGCTATCCGATAGACTTATGTCCGAATCTTCTGATACCTTTCGAAAACACATACAACATATTTCCTAATTTTAGGATTATTATTATGTATTATTAGAATATATTATATGAGTCGTTCGCTCGATGAATTGGAATTGTGTCAATTTTTAAAAAATTTACACTGAGAGAAGTTTAACGCAACATCTGAATTTTTTGAGGGACAGATATTGTACCTCGATAATGTGCAGACGCATTACTAAAATCTAACAGCAGCATCGCCAATCGAGTACGGATTTTGAACTAACTTGTGGGGTAAACAATTAAGTACAGTATCTGTTCACCAAAAAGCGCAGCTGCGATACAATTAAGAACCGATGTTTAGTTCTGCATAATTTTTACAATATTAGAATTTTTTATTTCTGTTTCATGTCAAAAATCTTTTGGAAAATTGAAAAAAAAATGTTCTTCGAGTGAACGGCTCATACATTAAATGTGGATTAGAAAATATTTAAAAATTTTCTTACTTTGTTGACTTCGCTGCCTTGACCTTCCAATTTGAGTGAATGAGACCGAGACCTGCAGTGTTTGTAGAGATTGGATTTTGTTTTGAAGGCAAATCCACAAGGAACGCAGGGATAAGGCCTTTCATTGGTATGAGCCCGGATGTGTTTTTGAAGAACACTGGGCTTGGCACAGGAAAGTTTGCAATAAGAACAAACGTATCCGCTTTTTTTTACCTCGGCGGTGGCGGCAGGTTCACTTTCCGCAGATTCACCTTTGGCTGCTATCTCCTTTTTCTTTTCGCTCTCGGAAGGTGGGACAACAACTTCGGTCGATGTCTCTTTTCTTGTCTCCACATTTTGGCTGACTTCTGTCGAAGCCATTTTCTTGAATTTTTTATGCAAGTACTTTGGTTCGCCATCATTATTGTTGTTGTTATTCGTCAACTGGGGGTCTGTCATCGCCACAGTGTGGGTCTCTGCAAAAAAAAAGAGAAGAAACATATTTAGAATAATAGTCAGGAAAATTTTTTTTTTTTAGCAAAATTTCATATTTGATTTTAGAAAATTTTGGAAAAAAAAAACCACTCGAATGTATATATATATATATAACCGCAGGCGAAATGAAACCGGCTCGAATAGAGAGTTAAAATAGGGTCGTCATATTCTTGAAGAGTGTGTGAATTCATTATAAACACAAAATGATGTCACCGACACCAATCAGAAGGAATAAGACTTTGAGAGATTGAGAATTCTTCAATCTATTTAAACTGATTTTTTGAAGCAAGAAAATAGAATGTTAAAAAAAAAGAATGTCATATATATAAAAGTGACAATAAATTGAAACAAGATTTGTGACGGGAAGTGAAAATAAAGATATATGCAATATTCAAGGAAAATAAAAAATTTTGCATTTTCGAGGCAATAAAATTTGAAAAGTATTTGTCAAAGTATTGTGCCAAGTCGCACGAGAATATATTATTACGAGAACGGAAATAGCAGAGTTCAGCAGTTCAAATCGCTTAGTATCTGATGTGCGAACAGAACTTTCCTTCAAGTGCACCTCATTTATAAATCATGGCCAGGGAACACGGTTTCGCCAGTCAGATTGACTGGAAATTATGCAGGTCGTATCGCGTTCTATTTAAATACGCTTCTTAGCTTCTAACACAATGTAGTTGAATTATAAAGAGGGCATTTTTTTATATACATAATAATGCTAATAATAAATAAAAAAAAATTTTTTTTTAGCTTTTACTCAGTTTCTTCTAATAAATTACAATTTATTTTCCTGATAAAGAAAAAGAATTTAATAAAAATTTAAGTAAATAAGAATAAATAACTTAAATTTCATAATTAAAATAAAAATGAAAAAAATAATAATAAAAAAAGTATATTCGAAAATTGAGAGACATTTTTATAATTCAACAGTTTCGCCCGAAATTGGAACGAATCGAATTCTTGGCAGAAATGTAATTTAAATACTTGACTGACAGGTTTCTGGTATGAATTTGAACCAGATTCATATAGAAGGCTAATTTTGAATTAAAATTTCCTATGGACCAGACAAAAATAAATATTTTCAAATTAATTTTTCATTGTACATTCCCTTTTAAAGATTATTCTCTTTATTTTAGATTTTCTATAAAAATTATTAAGAAGGAAGAAAGAGAGACACTCATCGACTTTTCCTATATCTTTTCGGTCTTTGATGAATTCGTTCAGGCGCCGTCGCCAAAGTGCCCGGTAATTTTAGAACACGCTATTTATATATATGATGATAAAAGAAGTGCGGAGAAAAGAGGAAAGTTGGCTTAGAACCCTCGAGAAGTCGATTCGTTGATGTTGCTATCAGGTCTAACGAAACTCTTCAAAATCCCACACCTGATATATATACAAATAATGCGCGCCATATACCATTTCATTTGTATAATGAAATGGTTTGGATTTACCAAATGAAAAGGACAATGAATTTTCAATGCGTAATTCAAATTTAGAGAGTAAAATAAAAAAAAAAGACGAATGATTATTATTAATTTTTTATGTTATAATAATAGAAAGTAATATTCTAAATAAATTAGAAAAATTAAATGATGCACAACAAATTAAAAAATAAATTCATCTCACATTTAAATTGAAAGATAACTAAATAACTCATAACTAACCGCAATAAATTTTTAAACGTATTACATTCAGCTTTACTTGTCGAATCAATATTTTAGAATTAATTAAAATTTAATAGCCCAAGCAAAAAATAACATTTTCGATATCTTAATTACATAAAAAAGTAAATCATTCTTCTTTTATCAAACAAATATTGCATACGTCACGGCTTTTTTATCATTGTAATCTATAATATACTCTCAGAAATAATAAAATTCCTTTATCTTTGTTTTTTACAAATTTTGATTTTATAAGAAAAAAAAAACATTTGGTTATCAAAGTTTTATATGTGAATCATTATAGAAGAATAAATATAATAAAAAGTAAATATTTTTGGACAGTTACTGTAAATATTTAACTTGTAACTAGACAAATCTATTGTGTTTATATATGTACTTTAAAAAAAAAGTACTTTAACATCTATACAGAACCTGTTTCGAATGCTGAAAAAGATGCGTCATTGGCAGACTCAAGTTAAATGAAAATATACCGACGTATCTGTCATTCTATCAGTTGAATATACAATTTTCCAAGAATTAATGCCAAGAAATTCCTATAATCGATTTATACAGCTATTGCGAATGATTCACTTTAAACCTCAATAACCGGGATTACTAACTTTTTTAACAGATAATTTTATATCTCATTAATATATTAATCTGACAATCTGTGAACTCTTCATGAACAGCCTATATATATATATAATATATCGCAGAGCTTTATTTTATTCGAAACAACAAGTATATATTGCAAAATTTACATTTTCAAATTGTTCCACTGTATTCTTTTTATTTATCATCAAGAATAGTAAATTTCATATATAAAATTAAATTTAAAAATACCTCAAGATCTATATTTAATTTTTTTCTATTATAAAGTGATAGATTATTATGCACATTTCATAATGGATCAATCTTTAACTATTAAATTAATCAAAGTGATTAATGAATCAGTATGTGATTTCACTGAAAAAAAATTCTGTTTAGGCTATATTTAACATTACATTCTAGTTATGTTAACCAGAATTCTAGTTGAATTAACTAGAATTCTCGTTAAAATAACCAGAATTCTGGTTAACCTAACCAGAATCAAAATGTTAAATATACCCTTAACCAGAATTCTGGTTATTCTAACTAGAATTTTTTTTCAGTGTAGTTTGACAATTTGGTTAATTATAAAGTTTTTATAAAATACTACTCTCAAAATATACTGAAAAAAAAAATTTATTTGATTTAACACCCAGAGAAAAAATATATTTGTCTCAGAGCTAAATAAATTTTTTTTGCTAAAAACAAATAAAAAGTTATTGTGTTCTGAGACAAATATATTTTTATTTGCTTCAAATAAATTTTATTTGTCTCAAATAAACATTTATCAAGTTTTTCTAGTAGTAAGAAACATTTATGCAAAAATATTTGAGACTAGATAACAAGCTTAAAGCGTTTTTACTCAGTCATTACTAAAAATTTTCATATAATAAGGAACAATAGAATTATTACAATATAAGTTAAAGTAAAATTTTTATTTTTGGAATTTATTAAAACATAAGATTCTTAGTTTCAAATATATTAATATTAAATATCAATAATAAATTTTTATATTTATGCGTCTATTAAGATTAAAAGTTTCGTTTTTTGCCTTTTTAGTGGCGAAGTCATTTACTATACATCAGTCAATTCCATTTTGGAAGCAGCTTCTGCTTCAATGGAAAGTAGACCTAAACTACTGAGTCTACTTTGACCAATTTGTGATCTCTAGTAGTTTTTGATCAATTTAAGTTTACTGAATGACCTTTCAACACTTGCCAACGTTACTGGCAATGAGAACAACAGTAAAAAGGCCAAGTAAATCTGACTAAAATCACATTCGAGTACTGCATATTTCTCAATTATGAGTTAAAGAGTTCTTTTGTTGAAATATTCAAATTTTCGTTTTTTACCAGAGTAAAAATTATATTATTTAGTAGTAAAATGTTTTCTTTTACTCTATATACCTAAAACTGTTACAGATTCGTGAAGATCCATATCTTTCTTTTGTAATACTTCTGATGCATATTTCGTTTCATTCAATGTTTCGATCAGTAAAAAACATCTTGCAAATCTGATTTTTCTTTATTAAAAAATGAATTGATTTTTGCGTGTCCAGCTATTTCTTGATCACCTCTTACAGCACGTTGTTTTTTCAGTTTTCATTTCTGGGCACAACTTTTATATGTTCATTTACTCATCAATTACTGTATATAATCACTGGAATTTCACAAAGTAATTTATGAGAATCAGATTACATGTGAAGAAAATAAATACAAACAAGATTGAGAAACTATACTAGGGACTAAACCAGTGATGGGTAGTTATGGAATACTCCTCGTTATTTACGCATTGCATATACGTCTATACGCGTATATAAAGGTCGAGTCACATGTATCAGATTAATACAATACAATTCGTTTCATTCTGAAGTTAAATTTTAATTCTTTGCAATCCTGTATTTTCTTTCCTAATCAAATAAGTTTTCTCCCGAAACTAAATTTTAATCTTTTTAAATCTTGAAATTTTATTCCGAATAAATTCTATTGCCCTGGAAACCGATTGATTCGGAATGAAATTTCAAGATTCAGAAATATTAAAATAAAGCTTCGTAAAAATGATTAGATCATTAATTTAAATTAAACAATCACCATACGAGATTAAATTTAAAATTTAAAAAAAAAACCTCTCTCTAAACCTGAATCAGTGAAATATTCCACTGAAGATCAGTGAAATTTGACTGAGAATCAGTGGGTCGATTCTTGCGATTTCAATCAGAGAAATTTCACTGAATATCAGTTAAAAATGAATGATATTTTAGTCATTTTTAACTGATTTTTAATGAAATTTCACTGATTGAAATCGCGAGAATATATCCACTGATTCTAAGTCAAATTTCATTGATTCAGTTTTAGAGAGCTTATATAGAATCTCATTCGAACTTCAGTGAACATTTATACAATTTGATTTGGTTTTAATAATGCCTAGACAGGGTTTCCTAAATATAAATTCCATTATCAGTTAGAATATTGCATTTCCAATTTTCTATGCAGAAACTATTCAAACTACAACAAAATTAGGGTGCCAGACTTTGAAAAAGTTAGGACAATGGACCTATGTTTGTATGGATATTATTGCGATTTGGAAATTGCTATAAAGCCGGAAAAATTTCTAAAAAAAAGACCTATATATATTCTATGCGACAATTTTTCCTCATACGAAAGCAGTATGCACTTAAATAGACAGGATGTTCCAGCAAAGTATCTTCAAATCAAAGTGACCACGTGGTA